GTGTGTGCACGCGCGTGTTGAAAACTCAAGGGCAATATAACTTATAACTTATAGCCAATCTGAAATATTGCAAGGAATCAACCTAGTAGCTCCAAGAGTCCAAGCCCAAAATACAATACACTTATGCTCGTAGGAAGGCTGGATTCAATCCAGCCACTTGAGTGTTGAGCTGGAATGAGTTGAAGAGTTTGTTACAAGAAGAGGTAATTTACTTTGTTAGAGGGAATCTTGTAGTTAATTGAGAAGGGAGTATGTGAGTTAGGGATTCAGAAAGTTGAAAACAGAAGTTTTAGGAGAGAATTCCTTCCTCTCGAAAGAAGGAAGTTGTGTTGATTTCCCCTTGAATATCAATAGAAACTATATATGGGTTGGAGTACTATATATGTGGTGGTGGACTGTCATATTTTGTAAACATTTAATTTGATGATTTCATAAGTTTGGTTAATGGTGTTTTGTGGGTTTCGTTTCTTTTTTTTAATAAAAAAAAAATGAAAATGAAAGAATTTTACCTTTGACTTTTGGTTTTACGAAAGCTAAATGGTCATCTTCAATATTTATCACTCAACTTATTATCAATTAGTGTACTTATGGGGTGATTAGATTATGGGTGGTAATATGTTGATCTTACGCCTAACTTCTCAATTAGTTACATAATTATGTAACTTAGGCTATTTATTTGTTTAATTGTAGACGAATTGAAGGTCGTATAGGTGATTACTCGGGGAACTACTAACCTTTATCCACGCGTCCTAGAGATAATTTTCAATGTCCATCATCTTTAAAATCCCGTTAGGAAATTGTTTTGAAATATTGTGTGTCAACTATGTGCTTATGTAATTATATGTGATGAGTGTGATATCGTATGATATTATGGAATCATATTATATATTAGTTTTCTATTTTGTGTACTAGTATATGTACTTTCGAAAAATTTTATTATTTGATATCGTATGAGTTTCTTTCAAAAATAAATAAGATCTTGGGTATGGATGATTGATTATACGTGATTGACGGTCTATATGTCATGTAGGATGACTATGGTCTAATAATACTGAAATTGAAGTATTGTTACTTGAAATTAAATTGATTTGTGCAATACTTGTGTACAGTATAATTGGATGATATAATCTAATAAAATGTACAGTGAAATTTAATTTAAGAAGGGAAATGAAACTCGAAAGGGTGAAGAACAGGTTGCCCACTAGTAGTGATGGTTGCTACTGGTTGGTCTAAATTATTGTATATTGCTGTTAGTCTTCCTCCTAATCACTAGGTATTAGTGAGGGATGTGCACACTAGGGACATTCTGTTTTATTTTATGGCCAATTGGGGTTACGCGCGACCCTTTGTAAAGTAGGTGATGACAGGGACTAGTCCCGGCTTACTGGCGTTCTCTTTCCCTTTCTTTAATAAAGTAATAATATGTTATGTGACTATTTGAACTTGGTTGAGTATTAAAATATTTATGAGACTATATTATGTATAAAATGTTTTGAACTAAAAATATTTATTTTACGGGATGGAGTTGGAATTACTCAGTTTATTTGATTTTTGGGAGTCTTCTCTCTTTTCTTGTTTCTGATTTATTTTGCAGGTTGGTAAAAAGGGTACTCGGTTACGTGTGAGGAGACGTTAGAATAATCACGTAGCTAAGACAATTTATTTTATTCCCGAATTTAATTATTTCCTCTCAATTATTGGTTTCAAATAATTGCAGTTTTGATGTAATGACTATTTTATTTTTGCCACAACTTAGACCACTTAGTTTATTTAAATATTATGTTATTTTTTCTTTGCATTCATTTTCTACGGAAAATAAGTGTAGCAGTAACACTTCCAGAGTTCGATGGTTGGGTTTTTAAAAGTTAAAGCTCTTATTGTTTTAAAGACTCGAATTTTGGGGGTGTTACACCCCCTTTTTCCCCCCTCTAACTGCTTTCAGGAATCCCTAAACCTTGTGTAGGATTGTTGATGCTATTATTAAACCTTCCGTTTAGTTATATGTTATCATCATTTGTCAACTTTCACTATAAGGATGTCTTATTCTTCACTTTCTCATGTAGCCTACGTACAATTTTGTATTGTGTGTTGAGTATACGGGATTCATTAAATTTATAAAATCTCATCCCTGAAACTACTCTCCTCGTGTTTCTGTGTTATCAAAAGCGCCTTATGCATTATACTCTATCACTGTTGGTATTATTTCATGTTTGAATGCATGAAAAGAGCTTCGTATAAGCTAGACTAGCTGGTTTATGGCTATTCACCAATGTAACCATTTCCTGTCTTTTGGTGTAGGTTTTTTTTTTTTTTTTTTTTTTTTTTTTTTTTTTTACTACGTATTTATCTTTTTGGTTGACTAGCTGGCTCAAAGCAGTATGCTATTGTGCTTACCTATAACCTCTTACTTTTCTTTCAGGTGGGAATAGATGTCAAGTTCAACTAGGAGACAGACGTGGTATTGTGAAATATGTCAGCCAAGCAGAAAATCTAGGCCATGGTTTCTGGGTTGGAGTTCAGTATGATGAACCACTTGGGAAGCATGATGGATTGTAAGTAACCAAATCCCTCAGCTATTATTCACGTAGAAACTTTCTAATGTCCTTACAAATCATAACCCTTATAGTAACCAATAACCATGTGTTTCTATTGCAAATTTGAAGCACAATTTGTAGTGATTGTATATTTGTACACTGTACTTATTATTAGTTGTATCTGTGCTTTGGTCTAGTATTATTTCCTTTTGAAAGTGAGGGAGTAGTCTCTCAATTTTGTTAAGTAAACTGAATTAAGTACATCCAAGATCGTAGCCAGTTTGTCTACAGTCTTATAATATGCCATGTTTTCTTTGAGCACTTTCAACTTCCAATTGGAGAGACTGACTTGGGGGATGCTATTCTCAAGAAACATAGAGTACATTGTCTTTTGTTGAGGAATTGACTTTTTGCCCCCATATGTAGCAAAACCATTGAAGGAAAGTGATAGGTTGTGGATGCTTAATTATCAAGAAGAAGAAGAACGACGATATGCATTAGCTTTGGTGGATTCAAACTCCAAAAATTACAAGATTCCTATACGGTCGCGGGGACTCTTGCTGAGACTATTGCTGCTACCTCTCGTTGGGAGAACCGGAGAAGCAAGTAGAAAGTGAAGATGTGGAGTAAATGATAAGAGATTCACCTATGGCTAGACATGGTTCACTATTATCATAACAAGAAATTAGCTATTGTGAGTTATTGTTACTTTATAAATGATCTAAACCCTCTCAAAAATACCATTCCTTGGTCTAAATTGCTTGCAGGCAAGTCAGAAGCTCAAGAAGGCTGAAAAGGGTTTTGGTGAGGGATCCTTAATATCGGATCACTAAGTTGTTGCTGATTAATGATTCATGTTATCAGTAGGATGAAGATGAAGAGGCCTACTTGAAAGCATATGACAGTAGAGATGCAAAAGGTATCTGGAATTGATTTAGATGCATAGATCTTAGCAGAGTAATTATAGGTATCCAGATGTATGAAATTTACCAAGGTATTTGGAATGGAGTACATATGATACGATTTTTCCTTTGCTTGTACGCATATATAGTGTACATTCATGGAAGCAAAGTACGAGCATTGCTCCCAAAGTTTTAATATTAGCATAGATGATTAAGACTCCCTCTGTTCCCAATTGTTTGCCCCAAACTATAAATTCACTTTATTAAGGCTTTGGGCAAAAAATAGTGCACATGGGTTGACACAAATATCAACGAGGAGAGAGATAGAGAGAGTGCAAGTGGGAAAACATGCCAAAAGTAGTAAGGGACAATCTTTTAAGGACACCTTAAAAAGGAAAGTGGAGCAAACAATTAGCGATAAAGGGGTAGTTTGATATTAGTCGTACAATTTAATTTGTTACATGAGAAATTAACTCAACTGCTATTTGTCGCTCCCAATTTACCAGGTAACGCTCCCTTTTTTACTTGAATGGACCACTATGCCCTTTATGCAATTTGTGTTATAAAAAGGACCTTGTTCCCCATTTGGACACCATACATGAAACGGTCCCCTCACTTCACGACATTGTTGTCCCGAGCCTCCCAAAATCGGTCCCCACGGCCTTGCAACCAAATCGGTCCCCACGACCACCTAAATGTTCTATTTTTAAAAATCGTGAAATTTTCCGACGGGTCTTGGGTCATGGACGGCGAGTGGAACATACGTACGCCGGAGAATGCGTCGGATCATTCTGTAAGTTTTTTTTTTTTTTCGCTAATTAGGACATCCGCCTAAAATTTCCGGATGTACCATGGAACATCCGGAAATTTCAAGCGGAAGATGGGATCCGCCTAAAAAATCCGGATGTTCCATGGCACATCCAGAAATTTTAGGCGGATGTACCAAGGGACATCAAAAAATTTTAGGCGGATGTCCCTATTCATATTTTTTTTTAAATGTTAAGTACGTTTATTTAATTTTTGTTATGTTTATTAAGTTTTTTTTTGTTGATGTATTTTTTTCGTGGTCTTGTGATTATTGTTTTGATTTAGTATTTGATAATTAATGTAATTTTGTTGTATTAATATGATTATTAGTAATATGTTTATTTTTTGTTTCATTATTATTATTATTATTTATATTATTATTATTATTATTATTATTCTTGAAAATATTATTATTATTATTATTATTATTATCGTAGTAGTAGTAGTTGTTGTTGTTGATATTGTTATTATTAATTAGTAGAAATATAATTTTAATATTATTATTATTATTATTATTATTATTTATTAATTAATTAATGTTATGGTCTTATAAATTGTTTTGTAGTTGTTATTGTAATTTTTTATTATCATTAATATTGCTATTGTTTTGTATTTGTTGTTATTATTATTATTATTATTATTATTATTATTGTTGTTGTTGTTTTTATTATTATTATTATTATAATTATAATAATAATAATAATTATTATTATTATTATTTTGACATAAAGCATGTTTTGTTTAATTTGTATAGGATATGGAATCTGAGGAAGGCGGTGACGATGTGAATTATAGTGGGAATTTTGTCACCGATACGTTTTTTCCTACATTTGACGATGCAGTTACATGGGCTGATGGTGTTTCCATAAAATTGGGATTTATATTGGTGAAATCGTCTTATAACAAAACCAGAGATGGTCGGCCGTATCGGTATTTGCGATGTGATCGGTCACGAAGGAGTAAGCCGAGAGATTTGGAGAACGCGATACGGAAGGACACCAAAACCAAAGCTAATGGTTGTCCATTCTACATCAAGATATATTATGATGTGAGCACCGAAAGTTGGAAGATCATTGCGAAAAATGATCACACCGGGACACATAACCACCCAATGATTGTGTACCCAGAGGGTCACCGTAAAGTGAGCGGATTGAGTCCGGGTGCAAAACAGGTTGTGCGGGACATGACAAAGTCCAAGGTTGCTCCCCGTAACATCATGTCCACTATTGCCGAGCAATTTCCTGATGATCATCCAAACATCCGACACATTTACAATTGCCGAAATGACTTCAGGATGGAGATGTCCGAAGGAAGAGGAGTTGTTCAGCAATTTCTTCATCTGGCGAGAGAGAGTAAATACATTTACTGGGTTACGAACGATGATCACAACGTTTTGCAACATGCATTTATGGTGCACCCAATCATGGTCAACATACTCCGCACATACCCACATGTCATAGGTATGGATTCTACGTACAAGACCAATCGATATAACATGCCTTTCTTTGAGGTTGTAGGCGTGACACCGACAAACCAGAATTTTCTAGTTGGATATGTTTTCATGCGCGACGAGTGCACGGCTAGCTATCGGTGGGTGTTGCAGAGATTAAGGGAGTTGATTGGGTTTGATATAGAGCCATCTGTATTTATTTCAGACCGTGATCTTGGGCTTTGTGCGGCTTTGAGAGAAGTCTTTCTAGGGATGTCACATTTACTCTGTCTATGGCACATCAACAGAGATGTGGAGGCTAAGGTTATACATTTAATAATAAGCATAAATACTAACAGAACATCTAATCAACATAATTAAAACCACTAACAGAACATCTAATCAACATAATCTAAAGTCCCATTTTTGACCTCCAATCAAATACAAGCTGCTCAGTCATTGTTCGAGTCTCACTCGACATTTCAGGATACTCAGCTAGTGCTCTTTGGTGAATCTCCATGGACCGACCCATCCACTGCAAATCAAACAATAACATATTATAAACACAAAAATTCATAGAAGTCATTGTTAATATAATAATAAGCATAAATACTTACATAATCAGTGTTAGTCCGCTCAGGCAGGTTGCTTGTAAATTCTGCACCTGGAGATACCCGCGGGTGAGAAAACATGTACATCCACTGCATGTAACCAGGCGCAACCGAAGGAGCTGCAGCACTAAGCCTGGGTAGGGCACCTAAAACAACACTCTGAGATACCCCAGGGACAAACCTGTTCCACATCACAGCTGTCATCTCAGTCGGGAAGTCTACCCGATACATCTTCAAGTTAGTCAGCCTCTTGGCCTTCTCTAGCCTGATGATCTCGCGGGGAATGCCTTGCACGAAACCAAGCTGGCGCACCACTCTATCAGGCATGTACGGCTCAATAATGTTACGGTACTGGATGCAGCCAATGAATAAAGTGGGGGGCACTCGTAATGCAAGATCAGCTTCGTACGGTAGCCAGTTCACCTCACGGTCAGTAAGCGCATCAATCCTAGTACGAAAAGCTAACAGGCGCTCCAGGTTCTTACTAGGACATCCCGCTCCAACATCCCAAGCAGACGCACGAGGCATTTGAAGGTCCCGGGTCAAGGTACCCTGCTGTGGCCGAAAGCACGGAAAGTACTCGTAAATCCACGCTTGCAGAAGCGTGAGACAACCAACAATCGAATCAGCACCTTTCCGTGATGCCGTGCCCAGTTGCCGATACAAGTAGGCCAGTGCAGCTGTTCCCCAAGCATACTCGTTAATAGGGACATCCGTGTGACATAGCTCGTGGAGGAAGAAAGGATGCGTACGGTTACCACTCTTGTCTACAAACAGTGTACCTCCAAGCACTAACCACAAGTATGCATCAAGCTGCTCACTAAAATCCCAGTCGACCGCCAATGTCGACTCAAAAATCTTATCAGTCAACACCCCACTACCCTGCCAAATGGTCTTTGTGCCGCAAACCTCAGACAGATCATCTGGAGTCATATCCATGGTGACCGAGCACGCGTCCCGTAACACGTCCGTTCTAGGAGTAGTGGTCACCATATTGCCTGCAACCCGTAACCCAAGTATGTTGTACACGTTGTGCAGCAAGATCGTAATCTCCCCAAATGGCATGTGAAAGGTGTTCGTATCTGGCTGCCACCTCTCAACAAAAGCAGAAATCAACGGCCAATCAAGTCTCTTAAACATCAGGCAGGGCAAGTGAGACAACCAACTAGCATCAATCGCTGCAAGGTCCTCCACAGATTGGCGACCTCGCCAAGTGAACAAGTCAGAACATAACTTTGTCCTACTCAAACAGCGCAAAACACTACGCATCTGCTCCATCCAGATATACCGTGCCACGTGACCGCCAAAACTAGGGATAACTGACCCATCCTCAGGCCCACCCGACATCGGTTCCTGCACTAACCATGCCTCTGCAGAGCTGGAAGTAGGTTGACTCGATCCACTACCAACAAATCTCCCAGACTGACCCCTGTATACCATATGGAAATCCTGAGGGTCCTGTTCTTCATCCCGGTCACCAGCATGACTAGTCGAACATTCTTCTTCCTCGTCAGATATGGGTGCTCCACTTGTAGAGTACAAGAGCCGACTACTACCAGACTGTTGGTCTCTCGACCAACCACTAGTAAACCTGTATTGCTGCTGCTCGGGCTAAAGCGGTGAAGATCGAGATGTCTGTCTCCTAACAGACGCATTCAGACGTCGTGATATTGCATGTCGAGCACCAGAACCCTCGATCTACATAAAATAAAAAAATAATCCGATTTTAGTAATAATAATAACAATAACAATAATAATAATAATACTATTATAACAACAACAACAATAACCATAATAACAATAATAACAACAACAACAACAACAAAAAATACAAATTAACAACAACAAATAAACTTAACAACAACAATAACTAACTAACAACAACAACAACAACAAATTAACAACAACAACAATAACCATAATAACAATAATAATAACACTAATATCAACAACTATAATACTAATCATAATTAAAAATATTAATAATAGTACTACTAATAACAATAATAATAATATTATTATAACAACAACAACAACAACAACAAAAAATAAATTAAACAACAACAATAACCATAAAAACCCTAATATCAAATTAGTTTAATAATAATACTAATCATATTTTTAAAAATAATAACACTAATAATAATAATAACAATAATAATAATAATAATAATAATAATAATAATATCAACAATAATAACAATAATAATAATAATAATAATACTAACCATAACACTTCAAAATAACAACAAAAATAACAAAATCCAAAAAAAAAAACAAATTAACAACAACAACAATAACCTTAACATTAATAATAAAAACCTAATTTCAACAAAATAATAAAAATTATCATATTTTTAAAAATAATTACATTACAAAATATACTAACCATAATAATAACAACAACAATAATAATAATATCAACAATAATAATAACAATAATCACCATAAAACTTCTAAGTAACAAAAAAAAACAAAATCCGAAAAAAAAAATTTAAATTAACAATTTTATTAACGGGCAAAAAAAAAAAAAAAAAAAAAAAGGAACTTCCGCCCAAAAATTCCGGATGTTCCATGGAGGATCCGGAATTTCCAGGCGGATCCTCCATGGAACTTCCGGAATTTTTGGGCGGATGTTCCTGGGATCCGGAATTAAAAAAAAAAATAAATTTACCTCTTCGCCACCATCGCAGCCGCCGCCGCCAGCGCCGCCGAAGCTCCTCCCTCCGAATCTCAGCCTAATCCGCCTCGAATCACCCATTTTTTTTTGTGTTTATGATGATTTTTGTTTTTTTAAAAAATGAAGAAAAATTTTTGAATTTTTTTTTTTTTAAATAGAGTGTTTTAGAGAGTTAGAGAGTAAGAGAGTTGGAGAGTAAGAGAGTTAGAGAGAGAAGTAAGAAAGTGAGAAATGTTGGTCGGGAAGGAAAAAACCGTATTTATGTATTAGGGGTAAAATTGGAATTTCAAGACAAAAAGGGAGCGTTACCCGGTAAAATGAGAGCGACAAATAACAACACCCGAAATTAAAGCTGATAATCTATTCCAAATTTCCAACACATACCCAGCAGGCAGCAAATGTGCTTGAGAATTCAAATGAGTTTGGACTTAACATTAGAGTTGAATGTTGGGCCTTGGGCTCTGAGCCCATAATAAAAAAAGGAATGGACGTTTTGTGAATCGAGAACAGAAACAAAGCAATCCAAACCGTCGATTAATAATAACCATCCAACGGCAACAAACGATGCCAAGTGAGCGATCCATTAATTGTACGTGCAAGGCGGGACGTAGATTCAATTGAGCGCCAACTGAAAATAATAAAATCGAAAATTAAAATTGAAAACAGAATTTAGAAATCTTCCCTCCACTTGAATAGAATTCCATTATAAACCAAGTCTTCATTTTCTCAGATCTCACCATCTTTCATATCTCTGTTTCTCTCTCTAGAAAGAAGAAGAAGTTAGTTTGAGCAGCAAAAATGGCAGGTGGATCGACAAGCAGCAACCCGCCCAAGCAGAGGAAGAGAGTTGAAGCTGAGTCTCCTGATGCCGAGTCTTCGCCTTCTGCTACTCTTTCTCTTAAGCGTGCTAAGGATGGCAGCGCTTTCTCTCGCTGGTATTTTTCTCCCTGTGTCTAAACCTAGCTTTTACTTTTTTTTTTTTTTTTTTGATTTTCTGCTATTTGTCTTGTTTAACCCTAATTTTTCAGGTTTTAGGGTTTTGTATTGAGTGTATTTCGCTGTTAGATGTTGTGGACTTTTAATTTCTCACGTTTTATTATGATTTGTATGGTGCCTGCTTAAACCTGTTGGATTTTTATCTCGTTTTAAGAATGGTGAATTTGTTGTTCCTTCTAAGTTGAATGAGCGACTGTTGAATGTTTAGTGGTATTTTAGGTGTTTATTTAGCTAGGATTGATAATATTTAGTGGTAAATGTTGATAAGATGATGATTATAATCGGCAATGATGAATAGAATTTTTGTGTGAATTAGAATGTATTATGCGTCTTTCTGAATTTAAGTCTCGCCTGCTACAGTTTTATTGATTTTGTTCCTGCTTTGAATGCACTAAAATCTGTCGTTTTATCTGAAATGGAAGAGTAATTGATGAATTTTATTGGTAATATAGTGCATATATAGCTAGTTGAATTGAATTGAATACTGTTGTAGCGGTAATTTCCAGTATTGATGAGATAAATATCTGATTTGAGACTATTTTGTAACATCTGACAGTGAGGAATGCAACAGCAGTGTGCCAGTAGCTCTTATTGATATGCATAACTGCAGCATTGAGGCTAAAATCAAGATGAGCCTTGGTAAGGCGGTTTATGAGTTGCGATTGATCTAATTTCATTTGTTTTAGTTTATTTTATATTTATGATGTCAGTTGATCAACTTAATATGCTCATTTCGTTGTGTGTTTGCTTGTTAGATGCGACTGTTGTTGAAAAGCCGGCTGAGGTTAAGAAGAAGCCAGTTGAGAGGTTTGATATTGTGTTTGATCATTCTATAGCTATCTGACACTTCTTAATGTGTTGTTTATAAACTGTCTCTCTGAACATTATTGCAGGAAGAAGCCATCATCGTCTGCAGCAGGTTCTGAGTCTAAGTCAAAGAAGAGAAAGCTTAGCAAAGTGAAGGATCCTAACATGCCAAAGCGCCCCATGAGTGGCTACTTTGTTTTCATGTATGCTCCTTGTTTCCGTACTTCGCAGAATGTTTATAATCCTTCTAAGCTTGTCAAGTTGGGCTGAAGTTCTTCTATATTTAATCTTTGATAGGGAGGAATTCCGAAAGGTGTACAAGGAGGAGCATCCCGAGTCCAAGGGTGTGAAGGAGGTAAACCATATTCCATTCTCTTATAATTATTATTTTTTATTTACAGAAATGTTTGTTGCTTTTGCTGTTTCTTAATAGTTTATCTAATTTGTGTTGTGCAGGTTGCCAAGGAAGCTGGCGCAAAATGGAAGTCCATGACTGATGAGGTTAGTTTTGGTGAAGTAATTTGAAGTTTGAGTGAAAGCTCAATTGTTTTTCCCTGCATTGTTGAGGGTACTAAATTTGTGTGCTGTTTGGTGGTCATGCAGGAGAAGAAGCCATATCTGGATAAAGCTGCTGAGCTCAAAGTGGAGTATGAGAAAGCCATGGAGGCTTACAATGCCGATAACAATGCAGAGGTATCATTGTTACTGCAGTATTGGCCATACTGAGTTTGTCTCCATTTTAACTCTTCTTTTTGCTTCTTATGTTCAGGAACCTGAGGATCTTCAAGCTGAAGAACTCTGTGATGAAGATGCATAAGTGTTTTGACATGATGTTTAGAGGCTTCCAGAAGTAGGTCTTTTTTTGGGATGGTGATTGTTATGGGTAGCTTGTAAATTTGGGTGTTGTTTATGGCTAGGAAAGTATACAAGTAGTTTATGAATCTTTTTTAAAACAGTGATGTTTCCTCTTATTGATGTTATGCTGAACGATGATCATCAATGAAATGTTCATGCTTTTTCAGTCCATAATTTGTCTCCAATATATATAATCTCCTTTTCTGCGCTTAATCCAGATTTAGTATCATTAGTTAACTGTTGGTATGCATTTTTTGCACAATTAAATAGACTATACTTTAAAGAGCTACTTCGTATTTAGTTTTACAACAAAGTAAAAGTACAATGTAGGATGCTTGTGGCAAGCATCAGAGAAAGCTTGTACCTAATTCCTTCTCTGCTATATGAAAAGCATCATATGGGCAGCAAGTGAAGATGAAAATGTTATAGATGGCAGGTTACTTTTCGTTACAAAGTAAGTTACTGGCCTATTTGAGGTGGTCTCTTCCCTTGCAAGGAAGCAAGGGTTTGCCGCACAAGCATTGGTTATGGGCATAAGCTGCTGCAGGAAAGATGTTCAAAGGTCTGCCCTGTGGTATCTTTCCACACAACCTGTTTGCTTGAAAACTTGCATGCCTCAGGTTTTTGATTCCAAGCAAGCTGTTTGGAATACTTCCTGTGAGGCGGTTAACAGATAAGTCCAGCCATTGCAGCTTCACCAGCAAACCCAAACTTGATGGAATGATTCCAGAAATTTGATTTCGACCTATATCAAACCTCTGTAATTCGATCAAATTTGAGATTGAGCTTGGTATATGTCCAGCAATCTTGTTACTCCCAATGTTGAGTACTTTCAAGGCCAATCCTTTCCTAAATTTGGGAATACTGCCTGAGATTCTGTTCCTTGAGACATCAATGACTTCAAGGAAGCTGGTTGTGTGGGTATTGAGGATTGCTGTGAGAGGACCAAATAATTGGTTTGAACTGAGATCAATAGAAGATATCCCTTTTGGCAATAAAATGTGAGAAACATCCAACTTGAGTTGGTTGTTAGATAGCTTGAGAAACTGCAAGCTAGACATTCTTGATAAAAAAGTAGAGATCCCATATACGAAATGGTTATTGGAGAAATCTACGGAGGTTAAAGAGGTAGGTTTTGTGAAGGTTGGGAGAGTCCCTCTGAGGCCACAGCCAGCTAAATGGACTGCAGTAAGCTCTTTGCTCCTGATCCAATTAGGAACTGTCCCTAAGCTAAAACGGTTGTAGGACAGGTCAATTGACAGCAAAGAAGGCAAGCCTTTGGCGAGAGTACTTGGCAAAGGATTTGAGAGTGCATTTCGTGATAAATTCAGGTTCCATAAGTTCTCTAATTTGGCAAGGGATGCAGGAATTTGACCTGTAAGATGATTATTACTAAGGGAAAGACTGGTGAGAGATTTAAGGCCACTAATTTGGTCAGGGATCCTTCCAGTGAGCTGGTTGTTGCTCAGGGAAACATCTGAAAGCGCAGTAAGACTGCAAAGTGATATGGGTATTGGACCAGAGAGCTGGTTATTAGAAAGATCGACAAAAGTCAGATTGTGAAACTGCCCAATAAAACCAGGGATTACCCCAGATAGTAAATTGTGACTAAAATCAAGAAACTGCATGCTCTGAAAGTTTTTAAAGGAAGGTGGGATAGGACCTGCAAGATAATTTTTTGCTAAATTGAGCTGGAGGAGGCCCTTAAGGTTTCCTAAGCTAGGAGGGATTCGACCCCTCAGACGATTGCCATCTAACAAGAGGGTCTTAAGAGTAGAAAGACGACTGATGGCTGAAGGGATAGGTCCTACGAGTGAGTTTCCCTCCAGGACAAGCTGGGATAAGTGTCTTAAACTGGAGAGAGTATTCGGAATGTTTCCTCTGATGCGGTTCATCCCACTGATCACCAGCACCTCAAGAAATTGCAAGTTCCCTAAAGCAGGTGACAGGGTGCCCTCCATGTAAATATTATCAGCAGCACCACCGCCAGAAGGTTTCTGCAGCACCAAGGAAGTGACTCTTCCAGTAGCCGGGTTACAGCCAACACCTTCCCAGCTTCCTCCACAGCAATCTGCGCCCACCCACGACTCGAGTATGCCAGTTGTGTCCCTCATTATCTTGGCTTTAAAGCTAAGAAGTGCAGCTCTATCAGCTGCATTACAGCCTGGGCCAGTTGCCTGAGTCCTTTGGGATTTCGACAACTGAGCAGAGAATGAAATAATCAGATGGAGCATTAGAACCCATCTCAGATTCTGCATATTGCCAAGCGGGTTTTAATTCGATTTTGTAAAAAATAAACAAGGAAGGCAAAGAGAGAATCGAAAGATGAGAATTACAAGTCCATTTGGTGGGAGTGTTTATATAAGTGATGTAAAAAGCTAGCCAATAATCCATCATTTTGAAGAGTTGAAACAAATATTGAGATGAAAAGCGGGGTGATTAAATTTTGTTCACATGAATAATCAATCATTTGTCCAATTGTCCTGACCGTTTGATGAAAAACAAAAATTCACGAGGAATGTAATTTCAACTGAAACGTTGGAGCGCACTACATTTTAAAAAAATGTTCAAATTTTGGGGGTTTAATTTTGGAGCTATCATTTTCATATGTAATGTGAGAGAGTTTAGCTAGATCAGACGTGCCTTCGTATTTCCGCCCATCGTGGTTGATTGACAGTTTGCCACTGTTTACCCTTTTCAATTTCAAAGATCGACCACTTTTTCAATACTCTTACTAGGACTTTATGAATGCAATTTATTACTATTAGCTTGTATGTTTGTCTAGGAAAATTTTGTTAATTTGTAACAAGCTACATCGTCCTTCAAAATTGTGACATGATTACTTATAAGCTATAAAAATAATCGAGATTAATTCGTGTTGTTTTTATATTTGAAGGTGCAAGTGTAATTGACATTTCCATACATATAAGTAGACATGCAACAATTAATTTATGATTGGTTGAAAATCAAAGCTTTGTATGCTCACTTCACCTAATTTTTATTGAGAGAGCTATTATTCTATCATTCAAAAAAGATGTAACAAGAAAATGTAATGTGTTAATTGAGATTTGTAGCTATTTGATACTTAATTATCTTTTCACTCCCTTTGTTTTTGAATAATTGAAACAATTTAACTTTTGCACTTTTTATTTATTAATCTTAACCGTATATTTATACTAATATAAAAAACTCAAATATTATCGTGTAAATTGTTATCAATTAATATTAACATTTACTTTTGTTTTCATTATATCACATTTTTGTAGGTTTTATTGTTTTAGTAATGTATTTTTTCATATATTGACATCTAAACTGATCAAACTGTGTCAACTATTCATAATTAAAGGAGAAATTTATTTTATAGGTAAAATGAAATGGTGATCTAATGTTTATTATAGTAGATGAAATATATTTTATTCCAGTTTTGCCTTTACCCAAAGTAAATATTGAATCAATCAAATCAAACATGCTATATACTCCCTCCGTTTTTAAATACTTGCTCCACTTTTCTTTTTCGGCCGTTTTTAAATACATGCTCCATATCCTTATTTGGAAAGCTTTTACAATATTTAATTAATTTCTCTTACCTAGTGGACCCAACATAAATCATATTTTATTAATTTTACATTCTCTCCTCTAATTTTCTCCACTACTTTTGCTTTATACAATTTTTTATTCTTTCACCCACCCCACTACATTCATATTTTATTATTTTATCCAATTTCTCCTAAAACTCCGCGCATAGAGCAATGAAGCTAGTATTTAAAAACGGAGGGATTACATGCTTAGGGGTGTTCGCGGTGCGGTTTGGATCATAAACCGCACCAAACCGCAAAAGTGCGGTTTGTATTTTTTTCAAACCGCACTTTTAATAAAACTGCACCAAACCGCGCCGTAAGATGCGGTTTGGTGCGGTGCGGTTTGCTATTTAAACGTATTTTATTAAAATTGTAATTATTCTTTTTAAGACAAAAATTTTATTTTATATTATAATTATTAATTGATAATTTAAATATTAAACTCTTTTTATTAACCTTTAATTAACTAATAGTAAAAAATTAGCTCATATATTTTAGTTCTTTTATATAATTTTAATGAAAATATTGTATAAAAATCGCAAACCGCACTTAAAATATAGTATAAAAATTGCAAACCGCATTAAAGTGCGGTTTGGTCTCAATAATTTTGCATACCCACCAAACCGCAAACCGCGATTTGGTCATTTTAAAAAACCGCACCGCAATTTTCAAACCGCAAACCGCACTCTGTACAGCCCTATACATGCTTATCAGTTTTATTTACACAGTAATTTTCAGCTAGTTATTTGAACTTATTTTTCAGACTTTAAATTCAACATATTGTTTTTTCTTTATCCAATTACTCTTATTCAACAGCATTCTGATGCTCTTTCTATTAAGGTCATGTTTGACAAAATGAACAATGAGGATCGTGTTCACCATGAGCTTGCTGCGGTGATTAATGATGTTGCAGCTGCCATTGGCAGGCTGGATGATGTGATTATCACCCATATCAGAAGGGACCTGAATACCTTAGCTCATGAGCTTGCTGAGGAAGGGAATGAGATGCATGTTGGTTTTAAAGAGTACTTTGAGGTGCCTACTCGTGTGAAGATGATTTATGATAGAGAGATGGTTACTGAAGTTGCTAATTGATCTTACTTGTTATGCCTTCAAGTCTACTGTTGGATGTCAAAACTATGTTCTAAGTGTTGGTATTAGGATTAGTAGTAAAGGTAGCAGTGCTGTTAATGGTAGTATTAGTTGCTGCTGCTTTGTTTTATTTCATGTTCTTATTTTCTTCTTTCTAGCTGCTAATCTAGGTTCGAAGGGTTGGATTACTTGCATCCAATTTTCCTGTACTCATATTGATGTAAGGATAATCTTTAATTAATATATTTCCTCTCGTTTGTGTTAAAAAAAAAAAAAACAGCATTCTGTTGGACTATGAACATATTTGTCAAATGGCAACTGAGCATAACAAGAACCGAGGTAAAGCACAATTTGCTGGAATCAAAATATAAAATAAAATTGAAGTCTTGACTTCTATTAATACACCTCAAAAACTACCATTGAAATTTAGGCCCTAGTACTTAAAACTGAGGGTATGTGTACGATAGATCACAAGTTTAAATCCCTCACCCCCATTTGTAATTTGTATTGCCCTTGTTCACCATTACTCTATCTTGAGGAAGCAAAGAGTTGATCTTCTGCCTCCAGTTTCGTCTTTACTCGACAATACCGTAAAGACATAGGAAGTGGAGCTGGAGTAGGCAGAGTGAATGAGGCCACAAAAGCAGACAGCATCAGAGGGCAGCCTAGTTTCAGAACAGTAAATGTCAACGAGGAAGCTGCTGTGCTTATGCAGGACTCTACTGAGTTTTGCTGTAACATATCAAAATTATAAGATTATGAGCTCTGCAGTTGGATGTATTCCATACAACAAGTCGAACTTTGGAGATATCTCATTGGTCAAGATCACCATTTGCTCAAGTGCAATGGAATTTCTGAGCAAATACATAACAAACTCCATTTCATTCCACATTTGACTGTATTCTTCCATTTTAGCTAGACTACACTTGGCATCTAATAAAGATATTTCAGCAGACCCAATTCCTAAATCCTAATACTAATTAATAAATTAACAGTAGCAGCGTGATATGATTTTGAATAGTCCAATGTAAATTAAGAATGATTAATTTGTATTAAACGATGAAATTGAGAGAGTTAAACTAAAGGAATACAGAGCAATACCAATGGTAAAATAAACCATCTTTTGAGAATAATACACTTGGAATGTTGATAGAAGGTATAACTTAATTCTATAGGAGTTAAATCTACTAATTAAAAAATATCATTGATATATAATCATAGTATTATTATCTTGTTGATATAATTTTGTAAATCATTGAAACCAGCAAATCTTTAACAAAAGTATGGTAGACTGTTAGAGGAAGAATAAACTCCATAAATTAATTAATCTGTTATTCTCTTGGCAATATTATATCTGACTTTTTGATCAGATAAACATTGCTCCTGGGTTAGACTAAGTATTGGCCATAACACCTTTTTTTTTTTTTTTTTTTTTTTTTTTTTTTTTTTTTTTTTTTAAAGATACTAGTATTAACCATAATTAGGCTTATTTATTTATTAATTTTTGAATAAAGCCATAATTAGTATTTTTTTTATTTTTTTTTATGCAAATAAAGCCATAATTAGTAATATATTGTAGATAATTTTTTTTATTATTTTTTTAAATTCTCTCCTTAGTGTTTATCCAATCCAATCCTTAATTTAAGGAGCTCATTTCTTAGTGTTTATCCAATCCAATTTGATATTATCTTAAGCAATAATATCTTCATTAAGTGTAATTAAAAAATTAGTTAGAATTCCATAAAAAAAAAAAAATTAATATTTTGAAAGCCCAAATCAACACGAATCTAGCAAATCCACTATGTTTAAACTTATACAAATCACAAGGTAGTCAAGGTTTTTCTATCTTTAAATGGAACAGACCATATAATGAAACAAAGTTACAAACCACACACTAGCAGGATGACAATATAATTTTGAAACAATTCCAAGGAAATATTTATTTTCTGACATTATCTCATTGGATCACAGATAGAAATTTGATCATAAGCATGAAAACACATTAAAGCTTTATTAGGCACATTAATATTAGCAGTAATCAATTGATTAAATTTCATCTTACTAGGCCCAGGTTAAGGATGCCCCAGGAAGTCTGAGGCCAAGACCTTTCCTTGGATTTCATGAGCATGACTCTTGCCCATGCAATCCAACCTTCCCAAGTCATCCTCTTATCCCATGGACTTCCCCATTCCAGCAGAAGAATCAGCCCTCTTTCCGCCTGTCGTACCGCTTCCTCGAACCTTTCCTTGCCCAGATACAGCTGACTTAGAACCACACGAGGCTCCCCAACAAAAGGGTTCTTCTCAATGCTCTTTAACAGCAATTCCTCTGCCTTTTCCATCCCTATCTTTCCATGCTCACATACAGCTTCCCAGTACAAGTCTCTTGCTTCTATTTGGTCCTCTGCCTTCAAAACTTTTGTGCAATTGTCGAAAATTGGCGGTACAACCAGCTCTAAATCTTCATCTCTTCCTTCTAGTACCTTTGTCATTCCATCACCTGTCTTTTTCCTCTCCTCCATCATAATCTCTTCTTCTCTCACAAGTAGCATATAAACTGCTCCCATCTTTGACAGTGAGTTCAGCCAAAGCCCTGGCTTACCATCTCCGGGCCACAAGGATTGGATATTATTGCCAGAAAATTCAAGTCGGCCATTAGAGTTATCAAACAAGACATCCTGGAAGCTAAATAGCTGATCACTGAAGTCAGCTATAGTCATTAAAACAAAAATCGCGACAATCCTCCTAGAAACCCTGATATCTTCCCCTGTTTTAATGTGTTTCACCACCACCCCATCTTCAGGAACCAAAGAATTGATCTTCTGCCTCCACTTTTCATCTCTGCTCGACAATCCTTTCTCTTTGATATCTTGAAGTGAGTTCTCAGACATTTTCAAGTGCTCAATGAGTTGAGAATCAGAGTAATGAAATATGAGGTGATCATGGATGAGGGGTTGCCTAGGAACGATGCAGAAGAGGTGGATGAGGCTTTCAGCCGCGTCTCCAACATAATCTCGGACAGTTTGGCGGGCGGTGGAGGGATCAAAAATGGCAAGATTGACATAAGAGTTGGAGTAGGCAGAGTGAAAGAGGCCACAAAGGCAGACAGCATCAGAAGCACCCCAGAGTTTGAGTATACGGTACATGTCGAAAAGGTGTTCAAGGAAGCTACCATGCTTATGCCAGCACTCCCCTGCACCAACAGATCGAAGCACAGCTAGCAAGGAAGGGAGTTTGGCATCGATGTTTTCCAACTCGCCTCGGAGGAATGGTCTGACTGCTTCCAGGAGGGTGGGAAGGTAGTCGTCGCGGCTGCTGCTGCTGCTGCTGCTGTTGGAGGCATCCTGATCTGATGAATTAGGCGACATCTCTATCTGGTTGTGGATGAATGCAAAAGAGAGAGGAGAGTGTGATAATCAAGGTGGCAAGGCTTAGGATGAAAACAAATAAAATAGAGTAAAGACTTTGAATCCTAAGCTAATAATCAGCATTAGATGCGCAGTTTGTTAGGAAGTGATAAGATGGACCTATTGTCCACTTCATCACAGATGACTAAGAACACAATCACCAACACTATCATTTTTAATTTTTTTTTTTTTTTTTTTTTGGAAAGAATAAACACTATCCTTTTTGGAGGTTTGGTATTATTATGTCAGATATTTTATTTGAAAGGGGAATATTGACCACGTATGCATACACATGCATAGCAGATAAAAGAGAATTTGTTTTTGGCTTGTTCAAAAATAAATAAATAAAAATTCTCTTTATTTTTGGCTCTTACTTTGTAACAAGGAATCCGTCATCTATTATTAATCTACACCATTTTCATCATCACTAGCTGCTCAAATGACACTTTCGATTTAGGCACAAACTTTTTCTGATGCTTGCCACAAGTATCCTTTCTACTTTTACTTAAACTAATAATATAATTAATCTAATTGTGCCAAAACAGCATACTAACGGTTAACCATCAATGATAATAAATCTGTCAAGCGCATAAAAGGAACGCGAAAAGATAAATATTGAACCACAATGCTGTGATTTTCAAAATAATCACAGCATATTATATCAGCTAAAACATCACTCAATTCAATTTAAATAGCCATATAAACACAAAATTACTATGAGTTTGCCTCATTCAAAGCAGAAATGAAAACAACACAACTTGAGCAGGCATTTTAAAAGGTTGAATCATCCAACCATTGTCTTTTAAATGGTTTCCATTTCCACTAAAAATTTTCTGTCTTAGCTAAATAAACACTTAAAATACCACTAAACATCCAACAATCACTCAATCAACTAAGAAGCAACAACAAACTTCACAATTCTTAAAGCAGGAAGAAAATTTAACAATATTAAGCTAGCAAAATACAAATCTACATAATAAAATGTGAGGAACTCTCTTTTTATTTCCACAATAAATTACTCTATTGATGATATTTATTGTGATATTAAGTTCTTGAGGGGCGGTGCCAAAAATTCGATGCTACTCCATGATCTCATCTATAACATTATCCTTTGTAGTTCTACACCAAATAAAAGTGTATGTAATATTGTACTAAAAAATGACAACTCTGAAATACCTTATAAAGGAGGAGAAGATGATATCACCCTGTCCGGGTTTGAAAGAAATTACATCAATGGACCGCAACCTGCGTTTTCCACCAGAGACATAGTAAATGGCATGGACGCCCTTCTGCAGCATGCCACATTGCGAAAAGTGGCAACTAGTGTTTGTTACAGTGTTTTGGGGCCAAAAATTAAGTTAAAGATCTTCAAAGGGATTACATGTATATATGTGAAGGCATCTTCCCAGAGTTTCTCAAAACTGAAATAAATAGTTGTTGTATTGATCATCAGGTCAAAAATACAAATATGTAACAACACTCAAAACTTTGGGAAAAATGGGAAGAAGTATTTAATCATTATTAGCATTTAGCATTTAGCAGTATTTAATCATTATTAGCATTTAATACCATGAAAGTGGATACCTATGACGATTAGCAGCAGGATCTTAAGCATTATCCTCAAGCTTATAATATCTTCTTTGACAAAGGTGCGAATGGATATATGACATAATATTTGAGCCATCAGACGCTAAGTTAAATATTTTTCCTCCTTCCCCAGAAAAGAGACTAACATGACAACATTGAGCTCAACATCAACCGGCAGAATAAGCAATGGAAATTGACATAAACAAAAGTATATCAGCTTCACCAATAATCCCCACATGAGCAAGCCCCATCCTTGAAGTGATGGAAACGATTAGAATCCCTCACAATAATTTCCCTCTCAGAAATTTCAGAAACAAACTTGGTCCAATTGTGGCAATCTCCACAAACTCTCAAATTTTTGAAAATCCTAATAACGCTTTTTGAAGGAGTGCTAATCAATGCATAAGCAATAGCCAATCTTTCATTGTGACTTGAAAGAATATGTTCCTTCTCGTCCTCCTCCACATCCTGTAGCACAAAACTATAGTCTGGAACATACCCAAGCCTCTTTACTTTATCAGTTAGAGAGTTCAACTCACTGTAGATCTGATCATACTTAGGGTGAGACTTGTTACCGGTGTAGAAAACATCAATTTTGTTGCACACTTCAACAGAGCTCCATCCTGGAGTCTTCTTCAATCCTCTGCCCAAAGCCGATGATCTCATCTCATTAACCCCTTCCCATTTCCCCACGTTTGCATAAATATTTGACATCAAAACATAGTATCCTACATTTTCTGAATCAATGGAAAACAGCTGATCAGAAGCATATTTCGCCAGTTCAACGTTTCCATGTGTTCGACAAGCAGCAAGAAGAGCACCCCAAACAGAAGAATCTGGCTGCACTTTCATATCCTTGATAAAATTATATGCCTTCTCTAGTAACCCAGCTCTGCCAAGCATATCTACCATGCAACCATAGTGCCTTAAATTAGGTTTGATTCCAAATTTATCTTGCATTAAATGGAAGCACCATTGACCTTTGTCAACAAGTCCTGTATGGCTGCAAGCGGACAATAATGCTAAGAAAGTCACATGATCTGGAACCACACCTTCCTGCAGCATTTCTTTAAAAAGATTTAAACATGTCTCAACATGTCCATGGATCCCATGGCAGGATATAATGGCGTTCCAAGTCACAGAGCTCATACTTGGAACCTCATAGAATAAGGATAATGCAATATCTAATCTACCACATTTCCCATACAAGTCAATTAAACAAGTACCTACATATGTATCCAAGTGAAGAGACATCTTAATGACACGGCCATGAATTTTCATACCTTGTTGCAAAGCCCCTAGATGAGAATAAGCTGGTAGCACACTCACCCAGGTTCCTTGGTTGGGAGTTACTTCCATGCAGGATTCTAGCTCAGAGAATGCTTCTGAAGCTTCACTTGCAAGGCCATTCTGGGTGAAGCCTGAGATCAAAGTGTTCCATGAAATAATATCTTTTTTAGGCATCTCATGAAAAACCTTCTGTGCATAATCTAAGATCCCTAATTTAGCATACATGTCAAGAACAGCATTTCCCATAATGACATTTCCCATAAGATAGGCTCTCCTTACGATAAACCCATGAAGCAGTCTGCCATTTTGACAATCCCCAAGTTGAGCAACACTTGCGGCAAGACTCACTAGTGTCAATATGTCAGGCTTTAGTTCTAAGCACTGCATCCCTCTAAAAAATCTAATAGCAGAGATACCATTTTCATTCTGCTCATATGCAGATATAATAGAGTTCCATGAGACTCTGTCTTTAGCTAACATCTTATCAAAAACCTCCTGTGCCTGCTGCAGATAACCAAATTTTGCATACATATTAATCAAAGCATTGGAAACAAAGACCTCATGCTCTAGACCATGCTTTATGGCATATACATGGATCATAATACCACTGAAGAAGTCACCAACGAAAGCACAAACAGGAAGAATACTAGCTATAGTTACAGGGTCCAAATGTATGCCTTCCAATCTCATTTCATTGACAACTTCCAATGCCTTTTCCACATAGCCATTCAGGCACAATCCAGAAATCATGGCATTCCAAGAAGCTGAATCCCGGAATGGCATATAAGTGAAAATGATTTGTGCATCAGCCACAAGACCAAATCTGGAATACATATGAATCAAGGAAGCAGCCACAAAAATATCCCACAAAAAACCAACTTTGAGAACCCTACAGTGAATTTTCTGTCCATCCAAAAGGCTCTGACAAGCCTTCAGGATAGGAGGGAAGGTGTAATTATCAGGCAGAACCGTCGCTGATGATATCAGCTCATTGAAGCAATTCAACGCTTCACTGCAAGAGCCAGTGCGCACATATGCAGCTATCATTGAATTCCAAGTGTAAGCATCTTTTGAAGGGATATTGCCAAAAGTTTTATGAGCAAAAGCCAACTCTCCGTGATAAGCATAAAGATTAATAAGCCTAGTGCTAACATATATACTTTGAGCTGTTCCAGAGACCACAAGAAGGGCATGAACTCTCTTAACAATGTGTGCACTGAAGCAGAGCCTGAATAGATCCTCAATGTCCACCTTTTTATCCTTATGTTCAAAGCCATTTGATGATGCCTGCAAAGGATTTGAAATTGTTGATTTTGACAGGCAACGGCGCCAAAGCCTTTGCCAAGTTCTAGCCTGACATGGTGATGATCTGCATTAAGACTAACCAGAAATCAGCTCAGCAATGAAAATATTAGCAAATTAATAGAGCAAATTATGACAGCATTAAGGAGCAAATTACGAGGGAGAGAGAAGGATAGACAAACAGTAATATCAACAAGTCTTATTTAGGAATAGTTACGAGGGAGAGAGAAGGATAGACAAACAGTAATATCAACAAGCCTTATTTAGGAATAATTACGAGGGAGAGAGAAGGATAGACAAACAGTAAATTCTCAAAAATAAGGACCGAACCTGGTGAACACCAAAAGTTGAATCATCCAACTGTCACCGGAAATATCGCAAATAAAAAAGTTAAGAGCTCAACATGCATATACACCCATTTCAGCCACCAAAATGTGGGCAAAAACCTGCATAGTAGATCCAAATTAGAGAATCCAAATAAGAGCTCAACATGAATTTCCTGCGTATTATTGGAAACACACCATGTACTCCTAAGGTTTTGACGTGCCCTTAGTAAATCAATAACCCAAGTCACTTAATCAATCAAACCATCTTCCTTATAAAACTCTTTGTCTCTTCGATCACCACTCTTTCCTCCTCTTACAAGTAGGGGTCAATGCTCAACACCACTTTCACTAAAACCCCATAGAATAGAATTCCCCACAAAAAGCAAACAGTTGAATTAAATGACTAAACTACCCCTTCACCTTTGTTGCCTTCTTTCTCTTTCTCTTATCAAATGGAATATCAGATTTCAGTATAAAGAATCAAAGTTAGCGGCTTTTGATCGTGTCTACCATATAAACTACTTATTATCATCAATCAGTGGCTCCATACAACACTACACTAAACAATTAATAAACTACTAGTAGCTCATAAAGCTCCATTATCATAGTTCGGGCTTAACATTAAAGGTTTGGCCTGCAACAGATTACCAATTAATAATCAAATTAGCCTAAAAAAACATACCATATATAATATATTCTTCTTGCTCAGCGTCAATTGCATATACAGTTATAAATTTTGCAGTAACAAAATCGGTCGTTAATTAACCTGAAAAACCTAGACTGTGAAATTGATTATTAAAAATAGGAAATTTTTACCTGATAAACTGTTTCAATGAAGCAAGCAACTTCAATGGGGAAATCAGAGTACGCTTCAAATGGAGTAGAGAGAGTAAGAGACTGAGAGAGGTGCAACTTATTGATTTTAAGTGAAAACCCCCAAAACTCAAAGGACTAAGGAGCCAATTTAATCTTGTGAAACGCTAAACATCGCCCGCAAATCTCCACATAAAGCCCACAAATTTGAAATGAAATGACATTTTTGCCCTCAACATCAAAAACACACTTTTATCTTAAAACACACTGTTATGACTAATAAACGGGAAGTGGCGGCACCGGAGGCGGTGTCGCGGTGGAAGTAAACAAAGTCGCTGGATCGCGAAGGAGCCGTGGTGGCAGCGCCCCACCCAGGCGCCACAACCAAGGCTACTGGCGCCTGGCCAGGACGCCACCGCCACGGTGGCGGCGCCTGGGCAAGACGCCGTGGCCACGGTGGCGGCGTCCACTGAAGACGCCACCACCGTGGCTACGGCGTCCTGCCCAGGCGCCGCCACCGTGGCGGTGGCGTCCTGGCCAGGCGCCAGTAGCCTTTTTTTTTTTTTTTTTTCAAATTTTTTTTAATTTTTTTTTTCAATTTTTTTTCCTATTTTTTTTTTTAAAAATGTATTTTGTTTTTTGGATTTTCTTTGCAATTTTTTTCTTTATTATGTTTTTGTTTCCTAATTTTTTTTTATTATTTTGGTTTTTTCTTTCTAATTTTGTTTATTTTTTGAATTTACTAAAGCATATTTTCAAAATAAATTAACATTTTTTTTTGTTTTTTTAAAAAAAAAAATTCAAATTTATCAAAATTCAAACAAAATAAAAAAAAAAAAAAACCAAAACGAAAAAAAAGATTTAAAAAAAAATATACCGAGGAGGTGGCGCCTGGCCAAGACGCCACCACCGTGGCTGGGGCGCCTGGCCAGGACGCCACTACCATGGTGGCGGCGTCCTGGCCAGG